TGACCAATTAACCATTCCGTTAATCACGGTGTGCAAGTATTGATGCAAGGACCAACCAAAATAAGTAGTTAAATTCAGATACGATACAAATTCATATGCAGCTGAAGATGAAAAAGATCTTATTTATAATTATACCCACCACAGTATGTACATACCCTGCTAATATCTTCTTCAGTCAATTGTTTGGACTTACACTCTTCTTTATTATCCATGTCGTGCAAACTAAAATTAATCGGATTGTTAAATCTATGACGTCACGAAACGACTTGTCAGACTATTTTAATTAAACGTCATAACGTGATTCACAAAATTAATTGAGGACAAAAAATTAAAACGTTTAGCTGGCGTAGAAAGAATCAACCGATGTCAAACGTGAATAAAAAGAACTGGTGCACATAACGGAAAGGCTTTCACAGGTTTAATAAAAGAATCAGAAAAGTAAAGGCAAATTAGAGTAATATGCATTATTAATGTTTAAAGTAAATTTGTTTAGATGTCGACCGCCCCCCGAAAGAGGGCGCGGGCACGCTCCTGCGAGCCTGGCACTGCCATCCGCGGTCCCATCGATCTCACGCTAACTACATTTAAATTCACTGCCATACTAAATATTTTACTCGCAGATGTCATTAAACTTATTCAATAATTTACTGTCTTCGTAATAATAAGTTCTTTCTAAGCTATAATTGTAAAGTTATGTATTTTGGGCCCTACAAAAGAGTATTAATTAAGAATCTAATCTTGCTTTGCGATTGACGTAATTGATACGGCTATTTATAGAAGTATCTAGAATCAAATGACTTTCCAGATCATTACACTATTAGGGTACTCGGTAAAAAATGAAACAACTTTATTAAATATAAAAATCAAATATCCTGAATTGTAGTTTATACCAATAGTCGATTATTTTTATTACAATGCCAATTTCTCAATAGTTATTGTGCGTTATGCGCGTACTCAGATAAAATTAATTCGATACTTTATAGGCATCAGCTGTCGTCGAATTAGGGTAATAGTAATGACTATAAATATATCTCATTGGTTTTGTTAATCACCTAAGAGATACTCAGGAATAAAATGAAATTGTAATGAAAAGACCATTCTGGTTTTTTTTAGTTTCAACTTGCATATTGCAATTTATATCAGGAGTTTGGTTATTTGTTCACTATGTATACGAGTATATTAAGAAAAAAAAACAATAAAAATTGGAAAAAAAAAACTTTATTTTTCAAAAGACAGAAAAAGCAGATTACAGAAAATAAATGATTATCGAAATTCAGAAAACAATTAAACTTGACAAATCGCTTAAATCTATTGGAATAAATGATATTAGAACTGTATTATATAAACATAAAATAATGAAATTATTACAATAATATCTTTATAGAGCAAAGTATATTTGATAAAACAATATTCGAAACAAATTGTTAAAATTCACCTTACAATACACATGGTGATACAAGATATAAAAACGACATCAATTGATTAATAGAAAAAGACAATCAGTTGTCTATAGATATAATTATAGTACGACAAACATATCCGACCCGGTGAGAGTGGCACTGCTAAAACAGCAATTTCTGTAAGAAAATTTCCAAAACTTGGGTAGAGAAAATGTCATAAGTCATGACAACAGCTACAGTACAAGAATCTTGACACTTTTTTGACATTGCTTGGGGGAGCTAATGACCCAAATAATTTAGTGTCAATTATGCCCCGGGTCAGATAAGTTTCTCGTTCTATGTCCTACAAATACAATTAGGACTTACTACGATTATACGAGAAACCTACGATATAAGGACGATTATATCATATTAATATAAAGTATATAGTACCTAGACATGTAGAGGAATGAAATGTAAATTACACATCAATTGATATACTACATTACTACTATGATTATCAAATACAAATATGTAATAAAATTGTTAGTAAACATTCAAAATGATATGTTTTTCTTAAAACATACCAGAGTTATTTCATTGTAGAAGACTTATTTATATGTAAAGATATTCCACAAAAATATCGGAAACCAGAAATCGGCAAATACAATATTATCATTGTTATTTAAACCAATCGTATAGTTTGTAATACAAAATTTATTGAAATGATTATTTAATTATGTACTCTATTGAAATATACCTAGTTACATGGATACATTATTTTAACTGTGGGTTTCTGAGACTTAAATCACTGTATAAAACATATTGATATCTCAGTCGTTGTCATTGATAAAACTGAGATGACAATATGTTTTAAACGGAGATTTTGTTATCGGAAACCCACGGTTAGTCATATATCTTAAAAATGTAGATTAAATATTGACCTTATACTTATAATACACTAAATATGTCTTGAAAAATACTAAGGTGGGAATGTAATAAGAAATATTTATATCAAAGTAGGTAAATTTGGAATGTTGGCTGTATTTTTTTTAATATTATAAATACTAAACTAACTGTTTAAAACTATCACAGGCCTTTTGCTGGGAGATCAATCAGGCGGTTACAAATTATAGTAATGTAGAGCATAATGTGAGTTTTATCTCTCTGTTTATAGCTTGACCAGAAATATAAAATAACATTGCGGAAATATAGAGAAATAATTTACAATTTTACAAGAGTTGGAGTTAAGGAATATCCCATACAAGTAAAACAAGCAACTGAGTCGCTAGGACAGGATTTCTATGTACTTGGTTAGGCTATAACCTTGAGAACAAACTCGCACTGGGCTCTTGGAATCTGAATATACCAATCTATTTTATTATAGCTGATAAGACATGTTATTATATATTAATATTAATTTCCTACAATAAGATAAATATTGTTTTAAATACATAATGGCAATATATAAGTACAATCTTAAACTAATTTTACAGCTAACTGACGTATATGACCTGTTATTGGAATCGTGACAGTTTTTCTTAACGCTAAGTTTTTCTTAAGAATAGAAAAAACTTATCAATTAAATTTTTTTAAAGACTAGACAATTACAGACTAAACACTTAAATAGATTCTTACGTACGTATTTTACTAGTTCAAGACTTAAAAGAATTATTATGATAAACTTTTTTTTATATGCCAATAAAATTAAACAGTAAAACAAAAACGTAAAAAATTAAAAAAAAAAAAGTAGCAAAAGTATAACATTAATATTATACCTTTTAAATTAAATTAGTTATCAACACAAACTGACAGTTGAAAAAAACAATTTAAAACGTTAATAGTTAAAAAAGGAAATAGAAATTTATATATTATTATAATTATTTTATATAATGAAGTTTAAGAAACCTTTAAACTATGTGATCGTGTTAATGATCTGTTAAAACTACATCTAATCTTTTTACATACTATTATACCTTATTAATTATAAATAAGATTATTAAAAAGATATAGCCTTATAAACTATGAAATTTACGATGCTAATATAAAAAGATAAATAAAATAACAAAAAAAAACTTTCTCCTAACCTAACATTATTGGAAGAAGACAGAACTCGTATACTTTATAATAAAAAAAACTTAAATAGTTAATTATTATTTTGATTATTACCAGTCTGATTATAATACTTAAATAGGCAAAATGTACGATATTACTATTCTAATACTATAGCAAATGTCCAGTTAATACAATAATACAATGGACTTAAGAAACCAATCAGGTTATATTGAGTATCTAATTACTAGCAGTCTTGCGAATGGTTATAACGAATTTTAAGTCTGTGACTTCTTATGACATCAACCAGACTAAGAGCATGTTTCACAATGTCTAAATAAAGTATTGGATAAATCTAAAAAAAATAATTTAACACGTTGAGCGCCACGCGTATTTCTAAGACAATCCCGTTCAGGACACGCCGCTTTTACGCACTGGTATTAAAGGGCAGGTGTTTCCGATCGCAGTACAAAATAGTTTACATTTTTAACGTTATACCTATAGGCTTTGTTTCAACACGTTACGCGCCAAGTCTGTTTTGTTTTTCTTACCGCTTAGCCCGCTCAGATAAAATTTCTTTTAATAAAAAAGAATAATTCAGATAAAATTATTTTTTAGTTCTCATGTTACACGCTGTCAGCCAACGATGGTTGACGCGACTTAAACAGAAAATCGAGTGTCAGCCACCGATGGCTGACGTGGCGCTCAACGTGTTAACCGCCATAAAATAGTTCCTGTTGAAGTTTGTGTGTTACCTCTTAATGAGATAAGGTAGTCATATTCTAACATTTCAATTTTTTTTCCAAATTCATTCAAAATATATCTTTTATGTAATATTATGTTTTATTTATTTTTATACTTTTATAAATATTATGGAAAGATTACAAAGATACAAATGTTTAATTAGATTTTTATTGTAACGAAACGTAAGGCGAAAATGTCTAAATGTGGAGGGAATAAAAGAAAATGGCACTTCCTCAAACTAGTTTGATGTCAAATCGATTAATTTTTTATATCTAGTAAGTATAAAAATCAATTGCTGTTCGTTAGTCTCGCTAAAACTCGAGGACGGCTTTTATCTTGGTCTTGAAATGTTCGTGGAGGTTAAAAGGTAAGAAAAAATCGAATAATTGCCGAGAACTAATTTAGTTTTTTTTTCCACGCGGGTGAAGTCGCGGGCGACAGCTAGTGTTTTATATTTTTATACAATTTAACAGAAAAGATGTTCCGTTTTTGACAAAAATCTATTATAATTAACCATGAAATAATTTATTTCGTGAAGCGCCAATGACGCTTTTATTCGTCAGATATACTGCATGTAGCTTATGATTACGACTTTACTTTGACATTGTAATACAGGCCCCCAATAAACATTTAAATTCCATAACAAATACTCATTAAATCTGTGTGATCACTGTAACGTTCATATAGCTCTGGATAATTAATTAAAAGCTGGATAAATTAAAAGTAAAATTAAAAGCTGGACAAATTAAAAGTAAAATTAAAAGCTGGACAAATTAAAAATAAAATTAAAAGATGGACAAATTAAAAGTAAAATTAAAAGCTGGATAAATTAAAAGTAAAATAAAAGCTGGACAAATTAAAAGTAAAATTAAAAGCTGGATAAATTAAGAGTATCAAACTGTAGAAAACTTAGGATACATTAGAACTTAGTATTCACGAAACATGAAAATTTTGGAGAAGTTTAAAAATAGCGAAATTTTAAAAAGACAAATGCGAAGTTTGAGATCCTTAGAAGTACAAGCACTAAGCAATCCCTCTAGCATCCTCTCCTTGCCAAGATACCAAAAAAACTTACAAACTAAGCAAAAAAATGAGAAAAATTTAATAAAATTTGAAAACATTAACACTTATTTAAGCTTAAATTTAATCTTAAATTAACCTTAATTTTACACGTAATTTTACAGATTACAATTAATTCTACGAGATAATATAAATGTTAAGTTAATGGAATATGGTATCGGAGAAAATATAGCAAGTACTATAATAGTTATATATAAACATACTTATTGTAAGAAATCGTGTGGCATTGGTAATATGGTGTCATGTTCAGCAAACATCAGCGCAGTCGCCCATTGCAGCTGCGACTCAGTCACTCCGCCAGCTATTGTGCTACCGAAGTACGGATGGTCCTTGCTCCTAACAAAATATATACATATAATTAACAAATCTATGTCACTGATATAAAATATCGATTTTAAGAAATAAAATTAACCTGCGTTTTTTATTTTTTGGAATAAATGTAATAGCCCAACGGCACTGCGGATCTCTCTTGACCTCATGTCCAAAATACCAGATTATATCATTAATGTCCCATTCCTCCACCTTGGATGAACCCTTGAACAAAGACAACGAGATATTAATACGATACATATACTTTTAAAAGTTCTTTAAAAGTCAATTACTCACTTGGGAGTCAGCATAACTGGAGAGTTTGGAGGAATTGACTTCAAATACATAAGATTTAAACTTTTTAGTAGCATCATTGGCATAACGCAGTTGACCGCAAACCTGAATACCATTTTTTGACATAGAATCCATTTGGCACAAATCCATTTGACATAGAATTCTGTTCTCTTTAATAACCAAGTTATTATCCTTTCTATCCTCATCGTCCCAGTATCCCCATCGGGTTACGACGTCCAGTACGATCTCATCTTTGTGAACTATCCGTTTCAAGCTGCCGTTACAAATTTGTTCTTCTAACATAAGCTTATGATGAGGAATATTAGTCTTCACACTTAGTTCCTTGCACACATCTGCACTAGTCTTGTCTGGTGTGAGTGAAACTTGGAAATGGTTTGAGCTATCATCCATGAAAACCCAGAAACGCAAATCACCAGCAGAGCTCGGCTGAGGTAACGGGCGTGCAGACTCTTGCATCCTCATGATGACGCGATGGCATGCTAGATCCCGTTTTATTTCATCTTCGTCTGGGCACCAAACAGTTTGATAATTTACGATTATGTCCCGTACCACAGTCACCTCGTTTTCTGACCATGATATTTGTTGGCCAGTACTCTTCTGTCAAGAAAATTTCATTTTTAATATCTGATAAGAATAAAGAATTTGCTCAGTCACAGAAAGAATACATACCACACAAGGCGGCATAATGGTAGGAGCCCACACTGCAGCGAGGTTTTCGGCATTCATCTTATTAATTTCATTCCATTTATGGATGAAGTTAAGATGTGCGAAGAGTTTACGAGCTGTGTTACAGGACACTGGACTCAAACTAACTAGCGCGCGTTGGTATTCTTCGAGTCGGCGATAATTATCGTCTATCGCTACAAATGAAGTTAAACGTTACATTTTGAAATACTGCACTAAACATAAAATTAAAGCAAAAATAATAGTACCTAATGCGTTAATCAAACGGTCGTGACATTCTCTCGAGATCAATGGAGTTGGCAAGTCCCGGAAGAAACGTTTAAATACTCCAGCGACGTCATGTTCCGAGTAGATTTGAGGAGTAAGCTGTACAGACCACGCATCGGCCCGGAATCGCGTCAGTAGCTCCCCCAGCACGACGCTACTCCCGGCGCGACGGTAGATGCCCTCTGATAGAACGCCTGTACCCAACGTCGTACAACAAACATCAACATAAAACCAACAAATTCACAACTGCAGGGATGTTTGATAAGATCATCACTTACCGTATGCATAAATGAAGTTAATGCATTTGTCTACGATTGTTGGAACCTCTTCATTAGTGAGTTGTTGTTCATCGAGTCCTAAGCCGTTGCTGTGCGCCGCGAGACTTATCACACAGTTCCAGTTCTACGACCAATATTTAAATAAATAAAGTCATTTCTATATACCGGTTTACATCATTTCATATTACAAGAAACCAATCAAAAGTTTAAGCTAAAAATATATAAAATTCCTATAGAAAATATAATACACAAAGCGATGGAAAACACAAATGTTAACTTAGATGTTACCTGGAACTCTTCAGTATGCGGGAAACGTAAATAAAGAGTAGTGACAGAACAATCCAGAAGCAAGTTAGAACAACAGTCAGACGGGCATGCCTTTTTTGATTCCTCGTCAGCAGTCTGTGTACCTGTTGACAACGCACGCTTTCAGCATTTTAAAGCAGTCAAGCGCAAACCATGCTAAAACACTAAGATGCACAACTATAAAAAATCATTACTTTTTGTGAGTCGAACATTATTATAGTATCTTTATATTAATTTTCTTAAACCCAAATTCCCCATTGTTATTATTAAGAATGTAAAAAGTTGCAAACGGCAGAGCAGGATACGTGAGAAAATCCAATATTAAAATTTTCATAGAAAAAATTCGAGATGAGAAAGTATTTTGTAACTTTAAAAGTTTTAACATCCAAAGTGTAAAGAAAGGAAACCTTGATTCATAAAAAAAAATCAGCACGTCACATCATTTAAAAAAAATTAAAACGACTGTGTATAACGCCAGCTATGTATTTTCTTTATTTCATGTTATAAATGAAGTCTCTAATAATATTTACTAATTGCTATTTCTTTGTCCGCCTGTATTATTTCATTTCAAATTTTATTCCATGATAGCAACACAAAGAAAATGGTTCCATGTTCCCGGGCGTTACAATCGATCAATACTCAAAGCTCGCAAACGCGCGCAAGCAAGAGCAAAATGGCGGCCGGCGGTAACGATTCGCGAATAGTCTTCATATTTGTAACTCTCCAAAATTATCAACTTCAAAGACAATAAACGAAAAGTATTCATTTCATCAATTAATATAACAATAAAACGCAATTTATAAAAATATAAACATAACAACATTTAAATCATATCACACTAATTTTGGAATACATACAAAGGGAACAAAGGCATGCGTACAAAATGTTCCTAAGAGTCTATTTTCACTGCGTGCGACCGGCCGCGCAGGCCCGCCATTTGCATGGAGTCGCGTTTCCATTTTCAAAGGCCACCGCGACTACTATACAAAATGACAGCGGTGCGCAAAGCAACGAACGAACAAAGCATCCAGATATAACATACAATAGCATCTTCTTAACAAAGCAATTTTCAATTTGAAACATTTACTACTCATAAAAATTTAAGAGAAAAATAATATGCAAAATCGCAACTAATGTGGAACTAATAAGATCATAGTCATGGCAGCAAGCTGTAGCCACACATAAACGCATTCATCGCAAATATTTTACGTACCTTCATGAATTGCTTCGAGTAGTTGAACAGTCAGTTGCTTCCTGACGATAATGTTCACGAAACAGAAAATTAATATATTTATAAAATGACGACCAGGGTATGAATGAGTTTTTTAATAAAAAAATTAAAAAAAAAAAACAAAAGATTAACTTTTTAAACACAGAAAGAAAAGTTACAACAAATATCTAGGCGACGAATATTAAAATGAAACCAATTGTCATGAGAGACAGAAAGGAATATTTTTATGTAAATAAGAAGCCTAGTAGAAAACATACGGAACTGGAAGCATTTTTCCAAATTAATCAACAACTTTTGTTTGAGAAGATGTAAAATAAAGTAAAGCAACATGTCGCCGTAAATCAAATAAAGTAAATTTTTTTTCAGATAAGCACTCTGTGTCTAGACTACCGTTTGAGCTACAACTGAAATTCCCTTTTGCCAGGGGTCCCAAGTCCTAGAGGGGGTTAATGCGCACGGCGACGGCGCGTACACCATCCCGTTCGCACTTAGTTATGTGCAAGTGCAACCGGCCTGTCGCTATGCAGCTTTGCAATCAATAAATCACGTCTAGACTCGACGACAACGCCCACCTTTACATGTCTAGACTTCCCGACATGCTATACCTCTATATATAATTACTTTTAATGTACCCCAATCATCAAACAGAATGGCAAGCTTTTTGCATATTGAGATTCTGGTGATATAACACAATAGTATAAAAAACGTTATTACACAATAAAACATTCTATTCGATCGATGTAGACATCGTCATAACAAAGCCGTCGAAAGTAATCACAGTTGTTATTGCGTAGTTTTTATGGCATATCGCATTCAGAGGTCATAATAAGTCCAGACATTTTTTTATTTGTTGCTTTTTTCAAAACGATAATACCGATTTCGTGTATAATTTAACAAATCTCTTATAACTAAACGAACATTCTTAATCTTTTTAAAGTAAAAAAAGACAAAAAAAAATAACATCAATCATACAAATTAATAAAAATTATTAGTATACTTATTTCGCGTTATTGTGTCGGAAATTGTCTGGGCTGAATTGAACTCGGTTTTATAAGAGCCATCACCCAAATCTCAAATCACGCTGTAAACGAAAATCTCCTAAACTTTCGATTGCGACGTAATTTTATGCACTGATGAATTTGAGATGATTTAATTGAATTTTAAGAAAGGTTTACCAGAACCATTAGAGAAAACCGCATGCAAGTCGGTTAAACCATTTGTGGGATTAGTGTGCACGAAAACATCCCGACAGACAAACAATTTTTTTATAATCGTTTTGTTCTATAGCGTTTATAGAGACCTCCTGTAGTTTTTCTCCCATATTTTTCATATACACAAAATTATAATACATAAGCAGTATACAGTTACTCACCTAAACATCTAGTTTTTCTTAAGTCCACATTATCAGCAATATCTTCAGTACAATAGTACATAAGCTCCCTTCCTGCTAGTAAGAGCCAAGCTGCCAGCCATTCACCACTGACGCCTACCTGATAATAATGTTCAAAATTAAAAAAAAATCCTACATTGTAATACTTCAACTTTCAAATTAAAATTAAGATCTGTTCACAATTGAGAAGATTGTTAAAAACATTGCATTATATTATAAAATACTACCTTTTATTTAGGTAAATAAATATGTTAATTTATAGGTAATATCAACTTAGACATCTTTTCATTATATAATCGAAATTATGGTTATTAGATAAAATTGTTTTTTATTATTCCACAATGGTGATGACAAATATAAATTGCATAGCATAATTTAATTGTAATTTTATATTCATTATTATTTAATTCAAACAATCGCTTTAAAACACCTATTCATTTATAAGAATGATTCATTAAAATGAACTACATCAGATCCTTTTATGTCACTACTACAAGTTATTCTAGTAAAACATGTTCCATAATATTTTTATCATAAACATATTAAACTACTTTTACAAATATCTTGGCGGCTGACCTTGAGCGTGCATTACGCAGTTCCCTACAATGCATTCCTTTAGGCCTCACTACACCTAAAATTGTGTTCAGCACAGCAGCTCGAGCAATGTTCCGAGCTGACAAGATTTTTGTATATGTGAATGAAGCCAAAGGTAAATAACTATGTTTCTTAACAAAATTAAGGCTACTATATCCAATGATATATGTTAACAATTAGCCCCATAAAATAATAAGACTGTAAGATAACTATCAGATCAAAATTTACTTTATATCTTCTTCGGAAAAAGTCAAATAATATTCAATTTACAATAAACATGCTGCAGTAGTTAAGCAAGTTTCCTCTGTACCTTTATAGTAAATATATAAAATAACCAACCTTTAAGTAGCACCATCCTATCCGTGTAAATTCCGAGTAATTGATGGAAGAAAAGGCAGATGTAAGATTAGCAGCAATTTTTTGAGCCCAAGTAAGCCTTTCAGCAGAAGTTGGACAACCAAATGTAATTTTTACTCTCAAGCTGTTTTTTATACCAGATTCTAAATTTGATATGCCCAGCTCAAAGCAATATAAACAATTGCTGCTGCAAAAATATAAAAAATAATCCTACCATGAACACTTAAAAATTGACATTCTTTTATTTAATAAAGATAATATATTTTATTTCAATATGCTACAAATATCTTGTATGTTTATGTACATTGACATTATTGAAGCACCTGAAACATTTGGACCATGTATCACATAGTGTTTTTCATTTTAAAACCATCTATTTAGTACTTTTTTGATAAAAATAATACAAAAAAAAACTTCAATGTAGTTCAAAATTCAACCGCTTCTTCCTGATAGAAATTAAACTTATGGAATCAGTTTGTCAACACAATCTGCTGAGCAGTGAGAGCAGCTTCTTTATGACACACATTTAACAATATAAAGACAAAATACTCACCATTCTACTGGTAGCACCATTTGCAGTGAAGTTACATTGTTAAGCTTGTACACCTCTTTAAGAGCCTGCATAGCCGAATCAGTATAGCAAAATAATTTTTGCTCAGCCAAAGCACAGTATAATAATTTTGATATAGAAACTAAATTATCATCTGCAATCCATGTCATGATGCCATTGAAATGGGGACCATAATTATTTATAGGTGGTCGTTGCAATGTTTTTAAATCTGGTTCTGACACTACACCAAATAATTTTTTAAATTTTGATATAGTAGAACTCTTGGGTTTACTTGTTGAAGGCCTGATATCTTCAATTACATGAACTTCACTGTCTTGGCTACTACAAGATGTAACAGCTAAAACCTCATTCTGTAAAGCAGAAGCTGCTGCCGACATATCAGCAAAACTGACTTGAGATAAGGCAACATCAGTTACTGGACTTGGTGAACCACATCCAACTCTTTGTGCATCTTGTTGCAAGTTCTGCATTGTCATACATTCTGTCTGTAATTCAAGTTGTTCTGATCTCACCCAGACCGTATTTTTTGAGTTTGGTTCCGATTGTACAACTTTTGGGTCTGATATTGTTACTACTTCACCTTCAGGTCTAGAGATTTTGTACTCTCTAATGCAAATCTGTTTGCTTTCATTATCATGTAAGTGTTCAAAATCATTTGTATCCTCAATTATAATGGAATCTAAAATTTGTCTGTTACTCACACCCTGAAACTTACTGCTTGGATTTCTGAAGTGAAGTGGATCAAATTCGCTAAGAGTAAAGTTATTAAAATCCACCTCCATTTCTGTGCCATAATCTTGTGTTGTCGAGTTATGGCAAGAAGTGTTGTCTTCCATTAAATCCTTTTCGGTATTAAATGGACTATTTATGGAGCTAGTTTTATTTAAATCATTTGGAGGTTTTGATGGAACAAATATCTTTTCACTTATCTGGCTAGTTATTTTGCTAGGTGTTAAATCTCTGGAAGGTGTTTTTGGAAATATCTTAACTTTTATTACAGGTTTTCCGAAAATATTTGCTTGATCCTCATTATGCTCAATTTTGGCAACACTAGGATTATTAAAATATTCTTCTGTACTGTTAGTCAGGCATTTTGAGACATCTGTTAACCGTGACTGATCACATACACTATGAGGTCTTTCCAGTAATGGACTAATTAACTGATGCACAGAGGAATTGGTAAACTGAGTGGTACTCTGGATTGCGTTTGAATTGTATTTCACTTTTTCTAAATCATCTCTACTCACGATACATTCACTCAATGGTGAATGTTGAATTGTATGTCCACATAATTCCATTTCACTTTGATATAAAAGAGGATCAAACATTTCTATGTTTCTATATTGTCCATCAATCGGTTTTTCACTTTTTACGTCAGCAATTTTTGATGATTTGTCAGGGTTTACTTGCGTTAATCCTTTCGCTGTCAATAATTTAGTACGAGGCAAAGGTGCGGGCTTTTTGGCGTGCAAATCCCTCTGGTTCAAAGATTTCTTCGATGATGAATCCATTATGAAATTTTATAATAGATACCTTAAAAAAATCTACTTAAAAATATAAACTAAAAAACAAGACTATGAGTCACTCATGAAAATTTGTTGTAAATTGATGTATAGATTTACCACTTTGTTTCCTGGTCACTTAAACATTAAGCAATTTGAATATTAATAAAAGTTAAGACAACCTAAGAAATATTTAACAAAAAAACACAAACATGAAAATTTGAGTGATGACAGCAGCCGTAAAGTCGTCAAACAAAACAAAAGAAAAAAACATCAAAATGGCAGTAATTGAAATTTCCATTATAAGCAAAAATATTAGTTTTAACTCTGTAAAATTAAATGTTATTTTTAACCCATTTTATTAAACTGTACCTAATCTTTTAAAATTCATATACAGGTGTCCCTAAATTCAACGATAAAACGGAAATGGTGTATAGCCAGCTCGATAACTACACCGGGAAAAATACTAAAAAAACCATCTCTTTTTTTTCAAAAGTTACATTAACTTTTGTAACTTTTCTTATAATTTAATACCCACCACCATATGATCAGACAGTGTGGCTACAAATATGAAGATATTCCTGCCATTTTTTTTGTATTAGCTACCTAAGTAACATAGCTATTAATTGAAGTTAAAAATTGGACCAAAACATTCGTAATTTAAGCACAAAAAATAATTGACTTTGACTGTTTTCTTGAAATTTTAGAACATTTTAACTTTTGACAAACTTTGACATGCTACTGTGTAAAAAAATGTATGAAGAGTACCATGGCACTAAATTACAAAAGAACGCACAACTCATCAAGATTCTAAAATGATACAACACTATGATAAAACCTGCGAAAATTTAGAACTAAAATTGAACATTTTTCATAGTTATTAGGAATTTTATTAAGTGTTCAAAAAAGCTAATAAAAAACCTTTATTCATAGATTTTGAGGTGCGAGCGAGATAGACATACATTTATTACTTTTGATAATGCAGGGTAAGACATTATTTTCATCTCTTTGTATTTCAATTTTCCCACCCACGTTTCATTTACGAATGTACATGCCAGAGGCCTACGTTTAGACTCCCAATTTAAGAGTAGTGGATTTGATGGAGGACGGGACACATTGGACCTCAATCAATAGAAAGCAGGCAACGCATCCGGAATTGCGGGCTATGGGCAGCGGTCGCTTCGCTATTTTGGCAAATTTAGGTGGCCGCTTGCTTGTTTGACACATTATTTGATATGATAAAAGATCCAATTTTATAGCCACCCGGCTCTGCGGATCGAAATCCGCTCGATTTTCTTACTGGGATGTCTTAAAGACAAAAGTCTATGCAAAACCACTGGCGAGAACTGGCGAACACCCTTAAAGAGTCTCAGATGCTGCAGAAGAGATAAACCTACGGGGATATAAGTAAATAGTTTAAAGATCCAGAATCTATAACTGAAAACCCCTTTTTGAACACTTAATAAAATTCTTAAGCAAAATATTCAATTTTAGTTCAAAATTTTTTTTTAGAGAATTTTCGCAGGTTTTATCATAGTGTTGTAGCATTTTAGAATCTTGATGAGTTGTGCGTTCTTTTGTAATTTAGTGCCATGGTACTCTTCATACATTTTTTTTACACAGTAGCATGTCAAAGTTTGTCAAAAGTTAAAATGTTCTAAAATTTCAAGAAAACAGTCAAAGTTAATTATTTTTTGTGCTTAAATTACGAATGTTTTGGTCCAATTTTTAACTTCAATTAATAGCTATGTTACTTAGGTAGCCAATACAAAAAAATGGCAGGAATATCTTCATATTTGTAGCCACACTGTCTGATCATATGGTGGTGGGTATCAAAATTATAAGAAAAGTTACAAAAGTTAATGTAACTTTTAAACAAAACGAGATGGTTTTTTTAGTATTTTTCCCGGTGTAGTTATCGAGCTGGCTATACACCATTTCCGTTTTATCGTTGAATTTTGGGACACCTGTATACATTTTAACTGTCGTATTTACTAGGAAAAATATTATATTTGGTTTAAATCTTTAACACGCTTACTAAAACATTTATGAAATAACTTTAGTCACACTCTTTATAATTATATATTATCTATTTATATTTATTTCTATTAATTGTTATGATTTTAAAAAAGTTTTAAAACGAATCTACGAATCTACCAATCTACCAATCTACCAATCTACCCAATCGCGTATCGATTTGGTAGGGTATTTTTATATTTATAGTGGTGTTGTTGTAATACCCGCTATCATTCATTAATTTAGGAAATGTGCATTGATTTCAATATTGAAGTTATATTTTAACGTTTGTACACTTATAAGTCAAGTTCTTCTTACGATTTTAATACAGTACAAATAATATTAAACACCTTAGCTCCTTATTGCGCATGCCCTAAGTTGCTTATTCAGGACCATCCGATTGATATATTTGTTTCCAGATCTAATGGACCCCCGTCGAGGGTATTTCTCGTACCCTTATTCTGGGCAACCACCAACCTACTACCATCCACTTTTTTCAGCAGGCGTGAGTATATAAACATTTTTTAAAGAGTTCATTAAAATCTACTTTCGATCTCCGCAGTTAAAAAATACATTTTCCGAAATTCGTGGGATTGTTATAGGTACTGTATGTTAGAATTATATAGCGTGAAAATGGTTGAAATTATTGTTCAAATTTACAATATGCTTAAAAAGCTCGTCACCAAGTTTGTTTATAAACGTTTTGATACGATTTATATTGACATTTTATCTTGGCGCACTTATTGCTTCCAAATTGACACTGCAATGACGATACGATAAAACCGAAACATAATTAGTTTACCCAGTATAAAATTAGAATTATATTCTAGTGCTTGTTATTATCAAATGCTTATTGCTACCTAATCGTAAGGTAAAGCCAAATTAACTTCAACAAAGATCACAGTTAGTGGCTTTGTTAAAAAGGTTTAATGCAGGTCAATAATCCTGGCGTCGCAGTTTTGAATCATCGACTCGTCTAGATTCCATCGGCGGGCGGGATCATGTATGTTCGTACCATTTTGAACGTAAGGAATTGCAGTTTTTTAATATTATTACACGTTTCTAGTGAAGTGATTGATGTTTCAGATGCAAGCGGTCAATTTTGTGCCGATGTCGCAACCGCCTCCGCCGCCACCGCCGCCGCCGCCGCCCGCTTCACAAGCTATCGAAGACTATGGCATCAAAGATGTTTGGAACTACAATCTACATGAAGAATTCCGTATTATCAGACAGGTTAGTTTGCAGAAAGTTTTTAATTAATCTACAGGAAAAATAAATTAATTGGAAATAAGTACTTACTCTTATATGTTGGAATTGTGATGTTCATATTGGTATGGTTCGTTTTTGTATACTATTAATTCAAATAGAATTAAAAAAAATGAGTTAATTTGTATTTTGGTCATGTGGAATCGTTATTCGTTCAGCGAAGATGGAATGACTGTCTCAATAATGGGTCAAATTGTGTTATTGATAGATTAGGTGATTGGCACACTCACTTCAATTTGTACTGATTACTGATACTGATTCTGTTTTAGAGACTCATTGTAAAAAAATAGTATGTTTAAATGATATAAGAAATCTTTGTGTGCTATATATAATTTTGAGTATTGATGATTATTTTCCTATGTGTAGTATTACCACATATGCCTGGTTGGATATGTAATATGAAAATTAATAACATGTTTTAAATTTTTCATATGTTTATCAGATTGTCCAGAAGTATCACTGGGTGGCTATGGACACAGAGTTTCCGGGGGTGGTGGCGAGACCCATTGGTGAATTTCGATCCACTGCCGATTACCAATATCAACTACTAAGGTATTTAATTTATTTATATCACTTTATGATAGAGTAGCATGGAGACATCGCGTCTATACTTTCGTGAAGCACATCAGTGAATCAGTTTACAGATCAGATCAATTTGTACTTGCATAGAATTATGATTTGCATTTCGTGTTGTGAGTAAAATGTTTGTCAGCAGGCAGCTTTTGGCTCTTCAACTCACATAGTTATAGTACATTGTGATTAGCTGTAAGCTGCCAATTTAGTTGTTGAAGAGCGCCTTAATGGTTCAAGTTTATGTGACCTATACTTTTGAACTAGTTCAGTGATTTATAAATAGCTACTAAGGCCTAGTTGTTAGGTTAGGTTCCGAGCACCCAGTCGACACTTACAGGCAATGTTAAACATTGCCTGTAAGTGTCGACTGTTTGCAATGTTTCAAATGTTTCTCTTGTCTATTTTAGAAATGAATTGTAGTTATATTGCATAAATTTGTTTGCAGATGCAATGTGGACTTGCTGAGGATTATCCAACTCGGGCTCACATTCATGGATGAAAATGGCCAAACTCCACCAGGATACACCACTTGGCAATTTAATTTCAAATTCAGTTTACAGTAAGTTAAAATTTGTAACTGATATTTGATTTTACTATGTAAAATTATGGACTAACTGCAACATTGTATTGGTTGCAGGGAGGACATGTATGCCCAAGATTCTATTGATTTACTGCAAAATTCTGGTTTGCAATTTCGCAAACATGAAGAAGAAGGAATTGATCCGCTAGAGTTTGCAGAAATCATCATGACCTCAGGTATTTGCATTTTTTTATTTACATTAAACAATTAAATTAAATATCATTTAGTTATTTACTAATATAGTTGAGGTGAAATACTATTTGTTCTTTATTAGTTGCAATCTTATTTAAGTCTCATAGTATACATGCTAAAATGGTTAAATGTTTATTATCTTTTATAGTATTGTAACATAACATAATGAAGTTTAAACCATACAAATCTGTATTTAATCAATAAAAGAAGCACAATTTTATTAGTAATTTCATTTATTAACTTAAATATGTGATTTAAAAAAATCATTTCCATTTTAGGGTTAGTGCTGATGGACAACATCAAGTGGCTAAGCTTCCATTCTGGATATGATTTTGGCTACTTGCTAAAACTTTTAACTGATCAAAACTTGCCAGCGGAGGAAAATGATTTTTTCCAAACTCTGCACATGTACTTTCCCACCATATATGATGTCAAAGTAAGTATAATACATATACTATATACCTTTACATTTAGGGTAAGGAAAATGGTTTAGTGTTATAATTATATACCCAGACATAGTAAATCTCAATATTATCATATATAACTAAAATTTTTTACATTAAGAGTTAGTTATAGCTAAAAAGTTAGCCTAAAAACATGTTTTGCCATTTTGATTAACCCACTTCGACTGATCTTGCATGGTAAAGAGAAATGTTGCTTTATTATCACCACTCATCTCGTTATTTCTATTTTTATAAGTATTTTCACTATATTTCAGTACTTGATGAAGCTTTGCAAGAATCTGAAAGGCGGATTGCAAGAAGTAGCTGATCAGTTGGAGTTGCGCCGCGTCGGCCCGCAGCATCAAGCCGGATCCGATTCACATCTGACCGGCATGGCTTTCTTCAAAATTAAAGAGGTATGTTTCAATATTAATTAAGTAGAAGTAAGATCTGTTTACTGAACCACCCGCAGAACCCATCTAACTGCCTTTACACCCAAAAACATAAACCTCGGCAAAGTGTTAGTAGAAATATTGTCTTCAATTATGCATTATCAAATGCGGTCAGGTCAGCCTTTGTTTTGTAGGCATCCATGTTAGTGTTACGAAAAACAAAAAATGAATCCCAAGGAAACAGTACATTTCTTCAGATTAAATATATTTTATGTTCAAGTATGTGTTCTGTGTTTTTACGATTCTTTTAAAGTTTTAAAGTTATTATTTGGTTATGAAAGAAGATGTGTTACATAATATAATACTGAGTGATAACTGCTATTGAAGGACGGTTGCGAACAACATTTTAACCTTTTTGTGTCTTATTTACAAACTGATAGTATTCGACTGTTTACGTAGATATTCTTCGACGACAACATCGAGAGCTCAAGTGGACATCTGTACGGATTGGGCGCGCCCTTCTCCGTTACCGCCAACAACTTCCCCGAGGGTGCCGATGGAAAGCCCATCTGATGCGAGGCTTGCATCTCCGGAAGCCATGGAGGACCGGCACGTAGTTTCATCGTGACCGAATAAAAACTGATTACCCATTCAATAATAATTATTTCTTCATAAACATCATCAATGTTCAAATTTATGACTTGATTAAAAAATTGTAATTGTAGTTGTGGACTATATAAACACATTTAAATTTAATGATAAGTAATATATGTTTACTTAGACTTTTATGTGCGCATAAAGCACTACTTCATTACTGATAAGGAAAACTGTTTATCGTTGATGCACTTCGCTGGTTATAATATTATAATATTGACATTTCGCCATAATTATATATTCAATAACATGCTCCCAAATGGAGCAACAATTATTTAGTAGGAATTCATTTAAACATGGAATCATACACCTAAGTACTACTTATTAATAAGTGGATGTTACATTGTAAGACTTTTTCTCCTTTATTTGTAACTTTTAAGTAATTTTGATTGTTGTCCTTGACACTTTAATGTAATTTTGTAGCTTGTATTTAATCTTTAAAAAGATTCATTAAACATATATTCAATTTTTAAAGCATTTTCAGTCAATATCTTGCTACACATATTGTGTGTTCACACTGCGGAAATGTTAAACATAGCAAGTATTGAAAAACATCCCGAGAGTAAAGGTCAAACTGTTTATATGGTGACTTTGCACTTTTTACATGTGATATCTTTGGCTTTGCACATGTGATATCTCTTTTAATATATTGTGAAGATTGTTTTTAGAACTTCTATCAAACATTGTTTAAGTAGTATGTCATGTTCGACACATACATAGTTGATGATATTAACAGAAAACTCATATTACTAGCTACTTGTTTTTGTATCTACAGTGCAAACATACACCTATAATAAGGTTAAGTAATGTAACAATAAAACGTGCTTCTCAATTCGGTCTTCTGATTGATTACGATTGACATATTAATTTTACATTGTTAATAAGTGTACTGAGAGCGGGACAGGCATTACAGCTGCCTAACTCATTTTGGACTAGTCACCCATCAGAGTATTCTATATGTTTGATTGTATCAGACCATTTTATCACTGCTAAGCTCTAATGCTGTTTAATTTGCGTAATTACCAGGGTTTGCAAATTTGACAACTTATTTGCATTGGGACTAATGGGTCAACCAAAGTAACTGCGTAGAACATGTACTAACGATATATATATGAACGTGTCCTTATTTCTTCTCATCCTCTACCTTGCTAGACCACTGTATCAAAGTTACTTTCCTCCAAAGCATCTTGGGAAACATAGCTAGTAGAAATATAATCGTTTTCTCCACTCAGGAAACAAATTGGCGGGCAGGGTAAAGGAGTTAACAAAGAAAACATTTAATCCATGATTTTTTTGGTATTTTATTAAACTCATCATTACAAAAATGTAAGTATTAAAATCACAACAATACGATGAAAGAGTCTTTAAACGTAATATTATCTGCACCAAAATCAATGCTGCGTCGATGAAAAACAAACAATAACCCTCTCACACGATACCATTACAATTTAAAGACACTAAAATTAACCCAATGTAAATAAAAACAATAATTGCGAGGCTACTTTTACAAACTTTTACGTCATTTTGTCATGGAGATAAGGAAATATGGCACCTATCCAAAAATCTCTGATTAATTTTCCAAAAGGAAATGTGTTCATGCATAATAATTTTAATCACAAATAACAATAAATTTTTATTTTTTCTGTACGGAATGCCCAAGTTCTATGTTCTAAAAATTTTATTCCTAAAATTTTACTGGTATTGACACTGGCAATACTAGCTTAACTCAAAAAACCATAGCGTGCAATTGTCATTCGTGAATTGACAATTTGTATATTTCGTGTTTGGAAATCAAAAACTTAAGTTTTATTTTATTAATCAAAAATCAATACTTGTATTAGCCGCGCGCAGAAGCTTTGCCGATGACTCCCACTACCACCTACCGACAGTCTTCGTAATTTTTTGCTTTCTTGCCAAATCAATTCATTGTTTTTTTTTGTTAAATTTAACTTGTATTTTGTTATAAGTTATTTGTTTGTAATAGTTAATAGTCATTTATTACATATTAATAATCATGAAGCTGTTATTAATTTACTACTTTTTCCATTAGTCCTCTTTTTGATGTCTACGAGAAGTAACTAACTTAGGGTTGACTCCAAGCCACTTGGTGGGGATGTATAGTAAGCTGATAATGATGAAAAGGAATACAAATAAAAAACGAATTGATTCAAATGCACATTTATTTATATCCAGAAAAAAATCACAATAGTAAAAGCTGTTAAAATCTTAATAAAAAATGGATCCTGGTTAAGAACATACAAAATTCAAAACGAATATTCAAAATATTTTTCTACCTAGATTTCTGCTCAAAAGTTTTACTAAAAAAGTTTTTGTGTATTTTAGAAAATGTAGTGAATGCCATAAATATCAAACAGATTGATAAAGGTTAATTAATAAAGATGCATTGTAATCTAAAGAGGCATTTTATCTTTAGTATATACACTTGTAAGAACTCTACCAGTACATTATGCAATACAAGTTATACTTAAAAAAAAGATTAAAATAAATTTGTTCATTATATTCATATCAATTGATCTTTCCGACAATTGTATTTTAATGATGACTATATTTGATATATAAAGAAATTTGTGTTCTTATATCAACAAAGTAAAGCAATTAATGATTTCATATATATAAATAAATAAAACATTTTACTTTCACCACACTGTTCGTCATTTTTGTTGAAACACCATAAACTAAACAGAAATCTTTTAATCAAGTTAATAGTAAAATTAAATAACAAAATATATGTACAAATTAGCAATAAATAATTACAAAATATAATATTAAAAAAATTAAAATAAGCTCTTTTCCCTCTATCCAGGTAGACAGGGAAATATATCGCTATTCACTTTCCAATGATACTTTAGGCCCCGAAATATGGCAGTGAATCTATCCATAATCTGAGGCCTTGAGATTGTTTTTAAATTTTGTCCTTCAAATTATTCTTATATTTAATAAAATAAAAAGTAAATGTAGATGGAACTCAAAAGTAATATTAAATATGCAACAAATATTATAACTTGTAAGCTTATAGGCTACACAGATTTACCTAGATTGTAGGGTCTTACCTAGGATTGCTAAAATGCACGATAACCTTACCATTTTAAAAATTCAAAAATCAATTAGAAATTAAATGTACGTCTTAATTTGGCTTTCAACTGGAGCGATACTTGTATTGACATCCCTCACATTCTGTTTGAAATAAACAGAGAGAACAATACATCAAAACAAGTTTTAATGCAGTTCAAATATATGCATACATTGTTAATATGAATGTTTACAAAGTAAATGTGAAGCTAGAGGTAGTAGAGAGATGTTACATTGTTGAAATATAGAAAAAAAAAATAAGTGAAAGATACAGATGAAATTAAAATTAGTATTAGCTAAACACAATCAAGTCATTCTTTGTGTGGTTATAATTTAAAGACAAAATGTATAAATATGTGCGCAAAGTAAGTTTCACCTCCTATTTGTCTAAACATTTAAACGGAGTCAGGGGACTAACATATTAAATGCAATACGTCAATATATCTAAATTGTGACTACCTCTAAGTTTCAATATTATGTATTGTTACATTTACATACGATATATAATAATCAATGATAACTTGATGTGATACAATTACTGTGAAGTTTTACAACGAAATTCTACTCAAACATTAAATGCTTCGTCAACATTATTAACTAAGTATTGAATAAACCATCGATAAGAAATTCTTTTGAAACTCATGGTCTAATTACCTGAATTTTGATGCTTACATATTTTTTAAAGTTTCATAAAAACCATGACATATAGTTCACATAAGTTTATCGACATGACTGATATTTACTACAAGGAAAATTCACACGGAAAAATACTATTATAACATATAGAAAATTGATTAAACATTACAATACGGATTTTTTAAGAAAATCCATTCGATATAGATCTTAAGATTGGATACAATCCTTTAATAGAAATTCTTAGAAGGAATTTACCGCGTTAATATTAAGCCTGTATTAATTGATCCGCCTCTGATGAGAAAAGCGTAAACAAGAACGTTAATTTGAAACAAATGTAACGTTATATTTTGATAATATTTTAATTTTAGGCTCGAATGTGAATTGTAAATAGATATAGGCTTATCCTATTTAAAGTTAGAAATAGAATACGCTATCAAATCGTTAGCATAGAGCTTTGTAATTATCGACAAGACGGTATACTTGACTCGTTAACATCCATTAATAGAATCACATCGAAATTGAATTACTATTATTGGTATAATATCGCTAAAACTAGAATGTTACTTTGCTATACGTAAACGTGTTATTATTTTAAATAGTAAAAAGTTAACAAGTTTGTTCCACGTTGTTAAGAGTCAAATTTAAGAGAATCATTATCGGGTTCACAAATTACGCGATCACATTTTTCTAAACATAATGTGATCAGCTTGTACATAACATTTCGGGGAAATTGCGACGCAAATAGATATTGTCACTTAGGGTGAATATTTTGCCTGGACAATTACATATTGTAAGCGATGTATATGGCATCTATCTGGTCCGATAGAAAGCCGTCGCGAAGATGCATGCGTTGCTTTTCTCCGCGTGAATTGATCGGCACCACGCCAGGGTCCACCACCACAACAACGCCGACGATCAAGTGGTGTTCCTCCAGCACAGTGTTGGTGACCAACGGTACCAAGTTCAGGGCCTCGCTGTCGTTGCCGTCCAGTTCCACAACAACCACAAGGAGATTAGTCCAAGTGAACACGGCGCTGTAAACAACAAGATTGTTACACTTTTACATTAGTCGCGTAAGGGAGGAATTATTAGAACGAAGATGCAAGTGCAACTTATTACTCCGTCTTAAATGAAGACGAGAATGTATCTAAAACTTTTCTCTAACTATTAGTTTTCGCTTAACACCAAGTAAACTAGCTAACAAATATAAATATTCTAGCCGTAGCCTGCGTATCCGTTCGCGCGGAATTTTCGCTGAAATTGCTCCTTGCACCCTTTCTGGAAATACATCATCCATCCATCCAAACATTCGTTTTTATAATATTAGTAAGATCAAAAAATAACTTTTAATCATACGCACCATTCGGCAATTTTCTTGTGGCACCTCATTACAGAGTTTTCAATGTCAATGGGATGGTATCGCATGCCACGAAGCATGATGGTTTCGTCTAGCGCGCCGACCACGAACACTGCGTCGTGTGTGTCGTGCGTGTCAGCCGCCATGCCGACGCTGCCGCATGCCGAGGCCAGCGAGTCGGTGTCACTGTCGCGAGTCAACATCGATTCTTCGCAACTTGTCCCAGTCGCGCTTATCTCTGTTCGCCTTAAGAAACCCAAATATCCTGTTCGGGCGTACACTTCCCCTGTATTGCCCGTCACCAGCTGAGCGCTAAAGTGATCAGCGTAGTCGCTTTCGTCACCGTATATTGTGAAGTAGCCGCTTGCATTATGTGGCGATTGCACCCATATCTCGCCCAAATGAGAGTCGCCGCACTGGCCTTTTGTTTCTGGGTTGGCTGTTATTACTTTCACGCCCGGCAAAAGCTTTCCGGATTCCATCAGGCATAAGGAATGTGGACTGCCACGTTCAACTAAGGACACACGATCGTTGCGTAGAGCACGCAAATCTACATACACCGTGGAAGGTTCTGGACTAGAGGCACCTTGCAGACAAATAGCGATATTCACTCGGCAGCCAAAGGATGTAGATACGGCTCTTGGACTCAAACCCAAAGCCGAGAACAACTTTGAAAATGAGTTGGTTAAATTAATCCGGGGCCTCTCTTCGGCTACAACCACGCAAGTTCTCACGCATGCCAAATTGATACCTTTCGATTTTAACTGATTTACTGAGCTTCCCAAACCCTTGGTGCACAGTTCCATGACACCGTATGAGCAGAAAGTGTCACGCACTTTATATTGAGAAACGGCACTGAGCCAGAGTGCAGGATTGATTTCGACTTCAGATGGCGGTATCAGAATGGAGTGGTGGCCAGAATAAATGCTGCTCAAACACCAAAGAGCAAATCCAAGGCCGCAATAAGGATCCAGGCATAGGGCGATGTGACGCGAAGGATACAACTCGCAGGCTATCTTCATAGAGCGGCAGAGCGACGTGACTGCAGCATGTGACATTTTGATGCCAGCCAACATGCCTGTAGTTGACACACTAAAGTCTAGATAAGCTAGCATTTCAGCTGTTGGGGCCCTATACAGAATTGGCAGTTTCTTTTTAGGCATATCATCAGTGTCCAGTGTTATCGGCCATGCTTTGCTGTCGAGGACATTGCTCGCCTCCTTGGAACGCAGCAACTTGATCACAGATTGGTTGGAAAGGATTAATGTTGCTTTGCTGACATCTACTATCATACGGACAGTGGGCAGGGTGGTGTGAAGATTCTGTGGATGCGGCGGGCGAATAGTCACCGGCACCGCTCCCACGTAGAGACATCCGTAGAAAGCGCTAATGAGATCTAAACCGGGGGGGAATATCAACGCGACGTGATCTCCAGTGTTAACTCGACCCTTTTCAAGTAGAAGATTTCCAATTCGCTCTGCCTTTTTGTGCAGTTCAGCGCAGGTGAGAACTTTAGAAACGGCGCCTTTTGAGTTGAGCAGTGTAAATATGACGTGGTCAGATGTACTCTGAGCGCGCCATCGTAGGATTTGAGAAATGAATTGATACTGAAAAGAAAAATAAAATGATAATTCTTTTTATTCAATCTGTGTAATGTCTTTTAATCTTTCCAAAACAGTAGTGACTCGAACCTTTCTGGCGGCGTCAGAGTCATCGGTGTAACCCATGTCGCGGCCCTGAGCTGAGGCCAAGCGGTTACCTTGCACGAGGTTGCCCACTATCACTGACGCCGGACCCACATCTGCGGATATTCCAACTAGTCACAATTTACTTCAAAGCGACTAATGAAATAAAAATTACAAATAAAAAAAAATCTGCAAAAAAAATCATAAAACAAAACATCTTTGGTTAACTTTAACAAAATGATGATATTTTTCTGTCAGTACCGAATAACATGAAAAGCTAAGGTTTAAATTCTTTGACCAATGCTCCACCATAGCTATCCGCATCTCACAGATTTATTTAGGTCTCAAATACACAGGAAGCCTATTTCAATACGCCAGTCAATACTGGCGACTGCCAATGAGGAATCGAAATAGAAATCTGGAATTGGAAATGAGAACTCTATCGTACGCTATATAATTATTAGTTTTCCGTAAAGATGAAGGCATTTCGTTCCATGTTCATGAGTTAAATGATAATCCTAGACAATCTGATAATTCATAGGCATTCTGCTTGTAAGGACTGAGATAATAAAAATGTTTTTGTACGTGTATTATGGCAGTGGATACTACGATTAGCAAGTGCAAGTGTATATTTATTAAAATTAAACAATGTAGTACCTGAGTGTATTTCTCTGGGTTTGGGTAAATTGGTAACACATGTGTGGGGACACATTAGTACATTGGCTGGATGGAGTGTCCCTTCTAAGAAACGCCGTTTGCATTCGCTGAGATGTATCCCACCGAGAGGTGTCTTCGGGAGATAATTGGGTTGTACCAATGCAAGGCAGTAGATTCCCACTTGGTGTATCGAATCAACTGCTTGGAGTACTCGCGACATCCACTGGAAGGACTAAGAGAATAACCTTTTTTAATACCTGAACCTATCATGGACGTATGAGGCCGTCGATATTGGAAAGTGATTTACACTAAAAGCACATCATTGTAAATTTACATCATAGTGCTGTAAGTGTTATTCGCTTTCCAATTTGGCCTTTTCGTTAAAACTGATAACTGTCTTTATTTTTATATACACAGATATCGAACAAAGGTACTTGACGATGAATTTCCAAGCTTGCGGCGTTAGTTAAAATGGACGTATAAACTTACGTACCTTACGACGTATAAACTTACGACATAAGTTCCTCAAACTTCACAATGATACAACAGTTACATTTTTTTTATTGTTTTATTTGCCACATTCATAATACATCAATAATTTAATAAGCTTGAGATCCAACAACTACTTTCTAATTACTAATTACTACTTTTTCATAACTGACTACTGAACTATATTTTATTAGAAATATTTAATGCTGAATACATTATAATTTAACATTTTTGTTATTTGTTACATATTCTCATCAAAGATCAAATTAAATAGAAAATACATTTATAATTTAATAACATTGAGATCATAAAACTGCTACTTTAAATTAAATATCTTTATGTATGTAATCTTAAAACTATTTTATAATTTCATTGTAAATGTCATTTTAATAACGCTATGTGACTATGGGTGTGAATGTGTGTGAATTGATCGTGTTAATTAAATTCAATTTTAATAATTCTTTCCCGTTTTTAGATATGCGTGTAGTTACGTAAGACATACTATTGGGCTGCCGCGATTTTAGCTACATATAGGCCATTACAATTTAAGCCTGCAATGCCCTAAAACTTTACTACCATAATAATTTTAAGCTTCATTCTACTTTCTACTCCTACAAATTTTTCTACGAACGATACCTACGATATTAAAATGGGAAATCCCTCAAACTACTTACAACGATTGAAAAAATTGAAAATGATTATATGCAAGTTTAAATGAATCTAAGCGATATTTATAGATTTATTTAAAGGGTCTTTGAACTCTCTTCATCGTAACGTCCATATTCATCGCTCTCAGAACTCGTATTTTCAAAAGCTGCTCGTAAAGCGGCTCTGTAGCGACGGAACCGTTCATCCATTCTTTCATATCTTAACCTTCTGCGATAACGGAGATATGCGTACCGGAAATTAAGCATATGCCTATTTGGGAGATTATTCTCCTCAAACGAGGGATCATTATTAATGTTTTGCTGTCTTTGATCATCATCATCATCATCTGAATCGCTATCGTGATAACAAAGACGCCACCGACATTTCGGACAACCAGGTGTGTATACCTCATGATGGTATGGACAAAGTTTTCTTGCCTTATTGTTGACATTTTCGGGACTTTGTTTGTCATTTTCATTAGGAGGGTTGGTGGATGAATGCGCAACCACTTCCTCATCTTCATTTGTATTGGAAACGCTTGCGGCTACCGCATTGTCGTTAAAAGTATACTTATTGTTAGAATCTGAAGTGTTATCTGTATTACAAGCAACATCTTTAGTGGTACTGGAGGTGGAAACAGTATTATCGGACTTGCTTGTGCTTGCACTTGGCATATCTACGTACTCCACAAGACCTACAACACAGTTGCAGTTAGCACAAAATACACGATTAGTGTTAACCGCAGTGTCTTTAGTAGTTTTAGCTCCGGTGTCAGCAGAGTTAATCTTGTTGATGGCGGTGCTTGTCATCTTATCTTCATTAGTGTCAGTAGTGCCAACTACGGTGTCAGTAGTGTCAACTACGGTGTCAGTAGTGTCAACTACGGTGTTAGTAGTGTCAACTACGGTGTCAGTAGTGTCAACAACGGTGTTAATAGTGCCAACTACGGTGCTAGTAGTGTCAACTACGGTGTCAGTAGTGTCAACTGCGGTGTTAGTAGTGTCAACTACGGTGTCAGTAGTGTCAACTGCGGTGTTAGTAGTGTCAACTACGGTGTCAGTAGTGTCAACTGCAGTATTAGTAGTGTCAAATACGGTGTCAGTAGTGTCAACTACGGTCTTAGTATCGTCAACTACGGTGTCAGCAGTGTCAACTACGGTCTTAGTATCGTCAACTACGGTGTCAGCAGTGTCAACTACGGTCTTAGTATCGTCAACTACGGTGTCAGTAGTGTCAACTACGGTCTTAGTATCGTCAACTACGGTGTCAGCAGTGTCAACAAAGGTCTTAGTATCGTCAACTACGGTGTCAGTAGTGCCAACTACGGTGTTAGTAGTGTCAACTACGATGTCAGTAGCGTCGACTGCGGTGTCTGTACTGTCAACTACGGTGTCAGTATAGTCAACTACGGTGTCAGTAGTGTCAACTACGGTCTTAGTATCGTCAACTACGGTGTCAGTAGTGTCAACTACGGTCTTAGTATCGTCAACTACGATGTTAGTAACGTCGACTGCGGTGTCTGTACTGTCAACTACGGTCTTAGTATCGTCAACTACGGTGTCAGTAGTGTCAACTACGGTCTTAGTATCGTCAACTAAGGTGTCAGTAGTGTCAACTACGGTCTTAGTATCGTCAACTCCGGTGTCAGTAGTGTCAACTACGGTGTCAGTAGTGTTAATGGTATTGATGTTGGTGTTTGTCATCTCATATCCAGAGGTGCTAACTCCGATGTCACTAGTTTTGATTGTATTTTTCCGGGTGTTTGTCATTTTATTTTTAGTTTTAATCTTGGTGTTGACACCACGGTCGGTGGTAACTATCTTCTCGGTGTTAGTTCCAACGTCAGCGGTGCAAACTGAGACCTCCATAGTACCTGAAAAGAAAAATAGGTTAATATCTGCTGTAAATTATAGCATAACAATGGAATGAGCAAATATTTACCTTTTTGCTGTAAATCCAATTTGAAATCCCAGTTTGGTTTTCTTTACATGAAAAATGCTATTTTCATGCAATCGAGCTGTACCTGTTGCTAAATAATTATTAGTAATGTTTAGTGTAGCTATATAGCTATGGAATTACTAAACATAAGCAAGAAAATTCATCGTCAAATAGGTAGGTTATAAAATAATAATTGAAAATTAGAACTTAAGAAAAAAAAATAGATAAGAACGGATTGGTGCTAAAGCAAGGACAAAATTTTTCTTTAATCTCACCTCCTCTTCTCCGCAATCGGGTCTTTGTTCGGCTATTATGCAAATACGTTCGTCGCGAAGTACCCTCACGGAAAACACAGCAATACGTCCTCTGTATATAAATTTCATAGGTTCAACGGCAAGCACGGTCGCTATGATATCATCCATATTATGTTTGCGACCAGTCACCGTCATCAGCCCATCGCGAGAGCCGCATACAAACACTAAGCCTTAAATAGAAAGTAAGAAATGAAATTATGAAACCTAAGTAGTGGATGATGTATGTGGGACATGCATTCGCACCAATAACTTACCACCGGGACCTAAGAAACCCAGGAGTCCACTGCGTACGTAGTGTTCCTCTCCGATCGGTTCCCCGTCAGCATCCAAAGGTCGCACTCGGAAAACGGTGTTAGTGAGCCCTGGGAGTCCCCAATACCCGGAGCCCGTCGCCCCGCAAAGAACGCAAATCTCGCCTACTTCGTCTGTCTTGCACAGATACGTAGGTCCTTCTATTTTTACGACTACTATTACACCTAAGAAAAAAATACAATATTAAATTTTTTCCTCCTTAAAAATATTCTTAATTAATTTGTTCAGATATTTATTTATTTTTTATTGCAGATTGTCGATTTGAGTGATTTCTGACTTACAGGAGGGCATAACCTGCCCGCAGTCCTGCAGTGTGAGCGAAGTGAGAGAGTTCTCAGCGTCGACGCGAACAACGCCGTAGGAGAGACCGGACATAGAGAGTACGCCGCGGCCCGCAGAACTGCCACCGCGGCCGGCGCGCCGCACGCACACTGTCAGCGACTCGCTGCTACATGCGCACGGGCAAATCGCGTCGCCGCGCACGCCTACGCATAATCACACCTTAACTGTGGACTCATCTCATTCTCATTTTCTTGAGACGTTCTTTGAGAACGCCAGTGGAATTTCATTGTCATGTTACAGCTACACTTGAGGATAAACCTATTGTATTTGAAATGTAATAGTCTTTTTGTTTAAGCAGCGTTTTCCAAGTGTTATTTGGAGAAAGCTACCTTACCAACGAAAGCGGTACTGAGCCGGTCTCCATGCCTTCCTAAGTTATTTATAGGATTATGTTGAAACTTTCAATTAAAGAACGCAATGATGTATAATTATTGAAAAAAACCACTACGATGTGGTTACATTATTGTACGCGCTAATGTTTTCTCTTATCTAAAATACGTTTTAATATACTACCGAAATTCTGAACCCGCGACTTGTTTTAATTTCTTTTGCACAGGCTTCACGTTAACTTTTCTTTAGCTCAAAGTTTGTTTCTTGTTTGACCTCTTTACGAAGCTTTCCCAACTGATTGTGAAATATTTTTTACGTGTTATTACCGGTCGATGTTATTGATTAGGTACAGCTATATGGATAAATTAAGTTTATACAATCTTGTATTCCGTTTATATTTTATGTATTTATCGTAACTATTTTAATACGTACCTCTCCTGTGTTCGGACTATCACATTTACAGTAAATGAACTGGGAATTAAGACTGATATCGACCTCAGCAAATATGAAAATCAAGATAAAAACGTGATAAGCACTGGAGATGTCCCAGCTCGGACTGAGGTCTAGATTCCCGGGCGGAGATGCGCGCGGCGCAGCGCCCCCGGACGACCTTGGTGCAAGCGTGCATAAAGCATATCGCTATAAAATCAATACATCTGACATTGCGTACTAAGGACCGTTAATTTATTGCGACATCGAATATTTCAACGCTCCCTCCTGCCGCTACATCTACCTCGTCGGCCATTTTAGACAGACTCAATTTTAAAATGGCTACCTGTTTGATATTACATTTTCTACAATTCATTTCTAAATTGTGTTCAAACATTTGTTTAACGTACTGGATGGATTTCATATTATGTAGAATGCAAATAAAAAATTACAACGCTTTGTTATATTTTTATGCCTACTTAAAAAAAAATGTTGGTTAATTATTTGACACATTTACTAATTTATTCAGGAGAGGTTTTAAAAAATGTTATAATAAGACATCTAATTTTTAAATCTACGTAACAAAGAAAATGAGAGGAACTAATTAAGATTATGGAAAAATTGTTTTCGATTCAAAGCAAACATCGATTTAAGCAACTTGTTTTTATTTTAATATTTCGATCTACTGTTTTTATGTAACCCTACAATTTTATAAACGACACCAATAAGTAAATTTATAACCACAAATGACTTCGTGTTTTAAGTATTCAGATTTCATATTTTCGTAAAGACATTCAATGTTATATATATGACAGATAATACAAATAAGATAGACATAAATACAATAGGAAAGGGATAAATAATGGAACACACACAAGTTTTATTCCAATGTCGTGTACATTTTTATTAAAAATCCATGGTTTTTGCTAAAATTTAATTCTTCATTCAACTCGCCGATCGATGTAAAAAAACACAATTCTGTAAAGTATTTAGTGTAAAAAGGTGCTACTGTAATGCAAAAATAAACACTAATAGTCTCACAAAATTATCTGCTCTTGAATAAAAAAGTGATGTTCCAAAACATATGAAAGATTTTTTTATCGACAGCAGATGTTGTTTTTGAGTTTGGCTCCAAAATAATTTTGAAAAATTAATTTGGTACAAATATATACAAATAATAAAACAATGGTGGCAACACTTTTTTTAATTTTAACCACAGTTTTTTATTTTATTGGGGTAATCTGCAGGAATACACCAATTAAATAATGACGTGTTTTGTTAAGTTTCTTTTATAATTATATTCTTTGTTATCTCCTGCCATTCTTTCATTTCAAGGACATTAAACGACAACAATTACTAAATACGTTTCATTTCATGTGATAATTTTGTTCACCTGTTGCTTGCTAAATAATTATTCTACTGTGAATGTCTGATGTGTGCCGTGTGTATTTTGTTTAATAAAAAAATAATTTAAATGTTGTATAAATATAATAAAGAACATACCTTTGCTCTGAAACACTGACAGGAACTGATCACAGGACGACAGCGACCAGGGGTTCGCGCCGTCGGCAACCAGCAACATACGAAGTGAGCTCAAGGATATTTCCTTGTGATCTCTTGTCGCCAGCAGACCCCAGTGCAGGTCTCGAGACTTAACGATCGCCACCGAGGCCCTGGATCACGTGATCAACAAAAAATATATAAATATTGTACATGATAAAGAATAAACATTTGCACAGCTTTTACGCGACACGATAACATATACATCCAAAGATTCATTAAGGAATAATGATAAGCAATGAAACTATATAAAGTTGTTAATAATAAAAAAAAATGTATGTTAATAAAATACGCTTCATTATTAAAAACGATAATACACAAGCGAAATAATAGACAGATAAAATGTTATATTATAATTTACCGTACGGCGGTAGGCGTTGCCCTTATGTTAAAAATAGCCATTTCAATATCGATTTGGTCTTGTTCTCGCAATATTTTATCAGAGCGAATTATACATATATATAAAATACGTCTGTTTTCGTTCGCAATGTAAACAACTAGATTGCAATGTGCAAGAATTATATTTATAAATGTAATCGCTTCATAAGGTAGGTATTGATGTTAATAATTAAATAGCGCGTAAATTGATATTCGCTTATGCACTTAAATAAATATATATAATAATAATATTCTTACCTGTACTTAGTGATCATATGCATCCATGAGGCGGGGCTTACTTTCATCAGGGCGTAAGGAATGAATATCACATGCATGCCATTAAGAACACTCGCTAGAACAGCGTGCCACAGTCCAGTTTCACGCTTGAAGTCCAGCACACACACCATATGCTCGCCCTCAGTGTAGTTACAGGCCACTGAAAGCATCCGGCTGTGGGAGAGCATCGACGCTCTGCAAACAAACCATTTCCATCACAATCAGATTCATGTTATCCCAAATAAAAAAAAGTACACAATCTTCTATTACCGTCGTCGTTGTCACCAAAACGATACTTATTTTTATGGTATAAGGATCATAGTATTGAGCTATTCCGCAACTCATTTTGTATTGAATAACTAAAACCACTGCGATATACATTTTGATACCGATTCGTTAGCTGCGTGGAAGATAACTGAGCAAAGATGAAGGGCTTTATTGATTTTTAATGAATAACGCGATAAAACGGCATCTGTAAACAATGTGCGAAATTGACAACGACGAGAGCCTAGGCTGAGGCGTCTAGATTACTGTTCAATTCGGAATACTCCGCTAGATGTCCCTATGCAGTTCGTTGCATCGCAGCGCCTCTCCGTGCATGAGCCGCAGTCGGTTACGAGAGATGGCGTTACGGCTGCTGTACTAAGCGCACTCAACGCGACACAAGTTACAATGTAGAGTCTTGAGACGTACTTGTCTGCTTTTTTAATTTATTTCTCTATGAAACCCGGGCCAATAGTATCAGTAAGACATGTACCTAATCATATTTTAACACCAAAATTTGTCAAGATATACTGCCGCGGTATATGTTTTTAATAAAATGTGTTTTTTTATTTGGTTCTACTAATTTGCGTAAATCAACTTTGTAAAATAAATTATAAAAAATTATTCAATATATGTGCTGGGTTAGAAGTAATTTTCTGATTTAGAATATAGTCTGTAAATAAATTAAACAAGTAAACATTGACATACCCGTGCCAAAAAACATTAAATATTAGGCTACAATTCAATACCAGTCTCAGGGGAGAGAACGTTGAAACAAATATTACGGAGCAACGAGCCGCATGAAAATTGTGCTAACAAAACATTTGTTTAACCTTAATAACAACGATTTAAATAATACTTATTGTGTACTTTGACCACATAATATACAAATAGCCTTTATATACATTTTATTATAGTTTACTTTAATTAATCCTTTCGTTTTATTTACAAATTTACAGACTTTACTACATTTATTAGGTAATAACAGTAATTATGAATATATTAAGAGAATTCGACATTAGTAGTGGAAAAAAGCAGAAATAGTTAAATACATTGCTTATAGAAATGACAGCCAAGAGTCTCGCTAGTGGAAAAAGCGTCTCATAATAAAATTAACCTGGTGACAATGACGCCCATAGCAGAGCCATCCGCAGCTGATGTGTGTTCGATGTGCGCGGGGCTGTCTTCAGCAGGACGAGGAGGTGGGATCCAGTCACGCGGGGGGCGGGGCAGCTTCTCCGTCGACACCCAGTGTAGAGACGGCCATCCACGGAACGATACCACATCGCCCGACGATGTCTTCGGAAGACCTAGTTGGGTACGGTTAATTATTGAAAGGAAATGATTATCTTAATTATGTTTAGCAGTAGTTCTTAATTAGTCATAGTTATATGATAAATAAAACTGTCTTTCAAGAAAGTTTTATTAACACTTAAGAAAAGTAATACCATTGTTTAGGTCATATCTCAGTATTCATTTATTTTCTATACAAGATCCTTTACCTTGGCGATATACTAAAATTATTATTTTATGTTTTGTGAAATGTACAGCGGATTCAACTAGTTTTTAATATAAAGAGCATATTTATTTTATTGTGCATATAACACAATATCACACATAGTGTTGACTCGATGTACTTTCGCACTCTAAATAGTGATGGCTACGTGTAATTGAGAACATCGTGATCATTTCACCATTACTCAATGTGAAGAGCATTTGTGTTCATCGTTGCGTATAAAATCATTACAACGTTGCGGTGTGTTGGTTATGGCCGGCTACAGTACACATTTAATAAAATGTGCTATCATTTTATAATTATAATATGTCGACGTGCGTTTGAAATTATATAATGGCTTTCAATAGCCGAATTTTTTTTTGAGTTTGTGGTATATTTCTTGTCGTTCACCATAAACTATTAATCGCTCATAGCTGGGAAATCGATTATTATGCTTTGTTAATACTAATAGTTATGCGCTTATGAATCTTTTTCGTTTTAAAATTCAAAAACTTCATTCCATGCCGTCGCACATTTCTAAATTTCTCAATAATGTTATCGAGTAAAAATTTTAAATTACACATAAAAGAGCATTTCGAGCACAAAGTGAAATTAGCTCTGTAAAAATAAGTACTAAAAGATGAAAAAGGATTCCTTCTGTGTGCACATGCTAGAGGGTATCGCAAGCGAACAGTGAACAAATACGTTTCTAATAAAAAGACTGCCAGGAGGCTGCAATTAGTACGAGGAACAAATAAGACGCAGAGCCTTTGTAACATGTAACTGAAGTATGTTGTATGTTTTAATTAAGAAATCAATACCAGGCGGAAGCAATTTAAACGCAAGGAATTGCCGATTGGTTTTCAATTACGTTTAGTTTCCTATTACAATGTATGTAGTTGCAAAGTGACTAGCAATGGCTTGCTCCAGTTTCCTAGAAGCCGTAGCTTGCTGAAGTGTGACTATTGTTTCACTTTTATTTTGTACAAACAACAATTAATAACAATTAAAAGCATTAACGCTAGCTATTGCGGTAACTGACGATCTTGAAAATTCATTATATTATTGGGCTTCGATGGGAATTGGACAGTCATACTTGTATGGAATATAAGACACAAAATCTTCAAAAATTATAAAACAAAAGTAGTATAGAACCTTTTTAGTGATTGACCTTGGTGGTCAAATGAGACAACTAGCGTACTAACCTTTTAGGCAAGCATCCGATGTGAGGGCGTATTGTATCCCGCAGGAGCCGAGCAGGAAGCCGACCTGTTGCAGGCCGGCGTCGCGACGTGTAAGCGGCACTTCAATGGGCACGGGCACCACGCCCGCTTGCAGGCAGCCATAGAATGCGCACATGAAGTTTATCGGATCATTGTTTGGATAAACTAAGGCGACACGATCACCCAGCTTGATGGAATTATCTCCAGTCATGGGCCCACCACTAGTGCTCTTTGATGTGAAAGTCTTATTCAGCAAAGCGTGAGCGATCTTAAACGAACGGCTGAGCAGTTTTCCTGTTGGGAAAGAATATATTTTTAACAAATCTCTATTACTCACTGGAATCATGAAATATTTTTTTTGGAGTAATAAATCAAAGGAATAATAACTCATATTACGTACCGTACGTAAGGGAATTGCTGAGTTTTCCATTTGGATCCAAAACGGTTGCAACGTTCGCTTTGAATGAGGCGGTACCATATCTTTGCAGAGCCGCTTCCAGGTTCCTCGGGAGGCCAGCGGGCACCACAAGCTGTTCTCCCACCGCTGGGGTCATTGTTCCGCCCTCCGGTTTTGGTGCGTTCGGATCTTTAGGGTTAGCGGCGATTTCTAATTCTATGTCATCATCTTCATAGAATTCAGGAAGAGGACGTCGTTTCGGACGCTTCAATGTATTTAGTAGCTGCTGAATCTTTGCTGACACCTATGAAATATTATTTAATTAATAGAATTTTGTAATTTTATCTCCATTAGTTAAGTATTAAATCACATTGTTTTTATTTCTTCTCCCAATAACTATTCCTAAGTAAGGCTAAGAACAATTGTTAAAAGGTTATTAAAAAAATAATAGTAATGGAAAAAAAATTACCTTCCATCGACCGGTGCCGGTGCCCGTATCCTCGGGCTGTGTATAACATTGCACTCGATCCGCGACAAGAGCTCCGCCTCTCCGAGCTCCGGAAGTGGTGTGCGTAACATCCGGTTGTACATCTGAGTACGTTGCACATTTTAAACAAAAGAACAATTTTATAGAACAAATTCCCTTCTTTATATTAGTTTAATGTTATCATCTACAATAATTTATTATATTGGGTAACACCGTTGGTCAATGTACATATTTTTCTTGACAAATTATTTGTACGTGTAGTCCAGGACGTTTACGAAGGGGGAGGTGATTGTCAATTATCTATATACAAATTAACGTGTAGATATTATGGTGACAGTTTCCTGAACAATATTCAAACCTACATCTGGGGAAGAGAATTTAATTTTTTGACCGCACTTACATGCTGGCAGATGAGCGCTGATTTCGGACAAGTCAATCTCTGTCCGTTCCTTTGGAGCATGTTTCTTATCGCGTAGGTGGTGTGGTTGCGGTAAGGGATGCGGCAGAGCACGGGGGTGAGGCGCGGCGGGGCGTCGTGCGGGGGGTGAGCCCATCTCCGGCGGCGGAGGCAGCTCACTGTCGCCCGCGCACGAGTCCTCGTCGGAACTAGATGCTATAAATAAAACGTATACTATCATGACGTAGAAAACAATGATCTCACAAAATCGACCGGCGAATCATGGAAGTACAACAACTTTGCCCACTTCTTTAAAATTTTACGAATTCAAAAATCACGGTCATTATACCAATCAACATATAATGCAAAAACTTTAACACGATTTTAAATTACATGTTTTTTGAACATTGCATATTTGCACTTACAGAGATCATGGCGTTCTCGGTCTGGGCTCTTGGCCATCATCGAGGTTCTTTTAGAAGGCATTGGCAAAGACGGTTTGGGCCGATTCTGCATCTCGGCAAGTGCTTGTTGTACCGCCTCTTGTCTCACTTCTGTAAGAGGAGACGTATTTATTAAAACGCATATATTCTTGGCCTACAATCTAGACTTATGCGTCAAAGATTTGAATTATCTATTCGTACTAAAGCTTTTCATGCTTGAAGGTTTATTAAAGACGAATAGATAATGTTGATCTTGAATCTTAAAAAATTTCGTCGCATAATTCCAAGATATGCAGACCAAAAAGATTTCTACTACTAAATAAAATGCTATAGGTAACTACAAATTCACAAAAACAAAAAATTTCATTCAATTAATCGGATAAAAGAACGGAAAAATAAATGCATCTTTATACATTGGCATACATTTACAAAAGCATTACAATAAAATTAGTATTAAATTACATGCAAACTATAATTTATATGGTGCAGTAAAATAAAGCGCATTCTGTGATATGAATCAAATATTATAATACATTATAAAAAAATTGTCGTTCCCTCTCATTAATTCACCATTGATTTTGTTCTCGATTATTTCCTTTTTATAATTTAATAAAAAAAACACACCTATTCCAATTCGAAGTTATTTTACTGTTGTATAATCTAATTCGACTCCCGACAATACGATGACCAATTTCTTACCAAAAGTCTAATTATTTCTCCATACATGTCTTTAATTTCACCTTTAATATTTTAATTTTCACAACTTCTGTTACAGAAAATTGCTCTCTAAGGCACAGTTTATTTCTATAAAATATTAAAACCACTAAAGTACTACTTTTCTTCAATTGTCTTGGCTTGAAAATGTACCAGTTCTTTTAGTATTTCTAATATTAAATAAAGGAATACGAAAGTACTGGTAATATGGATGGTTTAATCTTAAAATGATGGATCGATGCTATCCATTCTTCATAATGTAATTTTATGATTTAAAAATAAAAGATGTTACCGTACAGGAATATTTTTAAATATATTTTCTACGTAAATTTTATTACTGTTCGTATTTGCGTAATGACGAAATCAGTTGAACCATAAACTATAAAGTACTTCAGATGTCGGTTAGTGCTAAATTAATTAAAATCAATATAAATTACTACGTAAATTGGAATACACAAAAATTTGGTTAACATTCAATAAAAGTATTTTTACATATATTTTTTTAATACACCGACCTTTTTCAACTTTTTGATTATTTTTTTTAATCTTGTTAGAAAGTCAATATACCACATGATATCTGCACAAATGTATTCACAGATTTGATCAGAAAAAAAAAATAGATTTCAATTTTGTTCTGGATAATACCAGTTCAGATATTATAATTTAATACACCACGAGTTTACTTATCTTGAAAAAAATATTGCATTATTCAGAAATATATTTAGAATCCCGTCATGCTGAATATATGAATCACAACAATACATCTTAACAGAAGAATCCATACAGGCGATTATTTTTTATTATAAGAGAAGGGGCAAACGAACGACGTGAACACCGAGGTGATCAACGACACCAATTTTTGAAGCCAATATAAATATTGGCTTCAAAGTTTATCCATTCCTAGATGAACTAAGTTTTGAAAAAAAATGTCAAAAGTTTCAGTCCATACCCTAATAAAAAACAATACAAACTTCACAGTGCAAGCAAAAATTTTAACATTACAAATAGTTTTATTGTATTGTTTTAGATTATCAAAGGAACAAACCTTCTTTGGCGTACTGAGAATACACTATGAAAACTTCATCATTATCTTTCTAGTGGTTTAGGAACACGTAGAGGACGAACATTCAATTTATTTGTACAGAGATTAGCAGATCAAATATTTGGACATGAACAAATATCCAATAACAAAACATATCCACTATATATATTATACGAGTGCACTTGAATCTGGCATTCCATTTTATTTACTGTTTAATAGAGAATTCTTATGTTCCAGAGGAACTATTAAGTCAGTATTTCTGAATGTCGTTTCACTGTGTTCAAGGAACAGGTTTTGCACGTGTATAATTCAATTTCTTTAGCAAACTGGTGACTGTAACAAAATGACGTTTATTCCTAAACGTTAGTAAAGACCGGTTTTATTCAATAGGATAAAATGATAGCTTTTATAACGATGTGTGCTGTTCAGATATCCAATTTTATTATTCTTATGTAATAAAAGACACATAAGGCAATCTATTAATATAAAGTTTTTGTTGGAGATAAAATAAAAAAAAACGGTAACATATAATGATTTAGAAATTGTTAATATTATATTTTTTGCTCGTTGATAAAAGCAGCATATGAACTTGTTAAACACTTACATAATTAAAGTAGTTTCCATTACGTGAATTAATATTTTTATTGCAATAGGTTTTATTCATGTGTTCCATTAAATAATTTGTGATAACATATATTCTCAATGGAGGGACATTGCGTGCTTGAAGCGTTGAATTTCTCAACTTACACGACATGTGGCAACCATTTGTTGAATGAAATTATTATTATAGCAATTCTAATTCAATATATAAAGTTTTTAAGATTGATCTGATCCATTCTTAAACTCTACATAGTATTGTTCTAGTTTCTGCCCCCGACTCCATCAACGCGGAATTAAAAAAAAACTTAATTAGCACCCTACGTGCTCTTCCAGAGTATAATCTTCATCTATGCCAAATTTCAGCCAGATCAATACAGCCATTCTCCCTTCATCCATACATCCATATTCATTAAAAAAAATATCAGTAATTATGTACATAATTCTTAAGTGGAATTCTTACGTCCCTTTGCTCTCCCATCATTATGTATGAATGTAAAGTAACGGTCGTCATTAAGGAAAACTGTTTTCTGAAAAACATTATTTTAAAAATCTATTTTTTCGAGTGCGAAAATCCACCCTTTGATTTGAGTGTGCAGTGCTGCTCACCCACCGTACATTCGTTATGCAAACGTATATTTAATTGCTCGTTTTACAAACAGAGGCATTGATTTCGTTTGTCTGACGTTTTTCAAGTAAAATTAATATTCCTGCCATTTTAGTCATGACCCTTAACCAATGCTGTCTGAAAATTTCTATGAAAATTCTGATTATCGGTGACCTTTACGTTTTCAATTATTAAACTGAATTGCATAATGGCTATGAAAAAAAGAGAAATTATTTTTAAAAACATTAAATATTTCAAATTTATATCTACTGGAATATAAAACACATTTAATAGAGGTCATATTAGACAATAGAACCCATAATAAATTTGGAAGATTACATAAATTTCTCTTTGTTTTATTATTTAAAAATCACAGAGCTTAATTTTTTTTTACCTTATTCAATTTAAATGAATTCTATATAAGACTGCAATGCAATTACGGTTTTTAAATTATCTGCTTATGATTCAAAAATCTTGGCTTGATAATAATAAATTACTATTCTTCTTGGATGGTGATTTTTCAAGAACTCCGCCGTCATATTTTGTTTTAGTATCGGCTTCTTAATTTCTTTTTGATTTAACTTGTACTTGTAGAATATGTGCTGGTAGAAGCTTGAAAGAAACACTAAGACGGGAATATCTTACACTTGGTTTTTTTCATCCGCAGTAAGCCCACCTGGTACCCACATACGAACTTGGCTTACAATGATGATACTTGCTGCCACCATAAACTTTATTACCGTGTAGCGATGTGGGAGCGAGAAAATATAATTGAAAATGGCGGAGAGTCGGTGTTCAACTTAGGTGGCACTAGAGGCCGCGTACGAGCCACTTCCCAGCGGGTGAATCGGCGGCTAACTTGTTCAAAATCTCGCTTTAGTATAAAACATAATATACACAAAACTAACATTTATGTACTACATTACTTGAAAGACTTTCTGTCACCTAATTGATAAAACTACTGTACGATGATGTGTGAAAAGTTAAAATATTTAAATTATATAGAAGAAGTTCACTAACGACCATTAGGGTATTCACTATTGTGGGTAGAATAATAAGAAAAAGACTGCAATAATTTAAGTACTGTACCTAATAAATAATATTTCCAGCAAATTTTTATTATCCTGCATTTTCCATAAATTCTAAAGAATCAGGTTAATATATTTCAAGATGGGGAAGCAAAAGCTGAAGATGATTTAAATTCTATTCAGAGAGTTATAGGTAAGAGCTCTATGCACACTGATTGGCTCAGATCGTCGTCGACCGAGCGAATAAATTGAAAACGGCAATTTATACCGATAAGATTAGTTCGACTATCTCATATAATTGTCTTTACAAAATGAAAATGTTTTTTGTTTGCTCAACGAACATGTTTTTGATAGATCAACTCAGAATAAGATAGCGCCGCTATGTCTACAGAGTTTTAAAACAACAAGCAAAACTGTAGACATAGTAATTTACTCTAGGCAAATATTTATTATTTTACACTAGTAATCTTATTGTTTAAGAATTGTTTATCTCATTTTTTTAAAACACGTTTCGCAATATGACTTTTTACTTTATCGATTTCACTATTGAAAGGGCAATAAGGCCACAAAATAACTTGTTTCACGTTATATGACGTAGGGCAAATACCGAACACAATACGGTAAACAGAAACATTGCAAAGTATTCGTACTAAATAAGTAAGTCAAGGGCGGTTTATAAATATTGAATCAACATCACGATATGAGATATTGCAATACTCGCACGAGCGGAGCAACTCCGAGCTAAGCAAAAAGAAATCTCCGTTCAATCAGGCCGATTCGAGATGCAGGAATAAAAAAGGAATATATGTACAGAATAGAAGTTGCTCGTAACTTCGTTTGTTTCGTCTGGTTACTGAAATTAAAGAATTTAAATATCTTATGAATGTTCACTGACAAAGGTTACGTCCGATTTATTTGTACTCATATCCGTCCGATATATTATAGTTCCCACGCGTTATCTACTTTGACCTGAGTAATCCCATTACGTCGATACATTTAAACTTTCAATTAATATGTAATAATTGTAGTAAAGTATGACATTATCTCCATTTAGGGTCATAACAGGAAACAAATGTAATACCGTAGCAATTCAAACTGGTATGAAGTTAGTCACACGTACAAT